AATTTAAAAACTGGCACCTTGTTGCTTTGTCATCTTGAAGTGGTCATGTGATCGGCTTACCACGACTACTTTATCCTTCCTCAGTCAAACAGCAGCACTCATGCCATTGTTTTGCCCCCTGAGCTCCAGGTGTTGTGCCAAAAACTGATCGTCGGGCAGAAAGTGATCGCTGTCCGCAGGAGCGCAGCTGCTTAAAGCTGCAGCGCCCAGATTACTTACAGCTACGTCTGTGCAGCTGATATAAGATGCTGTAAACTACAGACAGCTTCAACCGTCTGTTTGCTGTAAAATAGTAACGCGACCGCGCCGCAGTTTCTTGTTAGTAACGGTAACGGCGTTGTAACGATAGGAATAGTAATTAGATTACTCGTTACTAGACTTGTAGTCAAGACCGCCTAAACCGAGACCAAGACATCACCAAGACCGGAGGGTATCGAGACCAAGACAAAAAAGTCTTTAAACTGCAGCCAGATGCTGCTTTGTTTACGGGTGTCAGGCATATTTGTGTTTTTGCTTTCGCACAGCTGTCTACTGTCTCTCACTGAGAGGACAGACGCACGCTCCACTTGACTGTCGCGTCTCTCACTCTCTGTTTTTCACATAATGATATTATCCTATATCCTCGCATGTGATTGGCCAAAATATGGAGGGACTCGTTACTGAAAAAAGTAACGCCGTTACTTGTAACGCTGTTATTGCATCACTGATATTGCCTACCACGAATTTACATTACACTGAAAAAATAATTGATTTCCTTTTTATGATTTTATGATGATTATTTGTAAATTATGTGAAAATGTAAATACGTGTCAAACTGTAAGAAATTCTTGTGGGTAAACGTATATGAATGTTATCAGCACGATGTTCATGGAGGGGTACTGCAGAACACACCGTGACTGACTCACAATACAGCGCTGTGTGTGCGTCTCAAGGTTTTAAATACTTCATATAAAGATCGTTTCTCTCAGTGGTGTCACCAGACAAATCTGGCAAAATGGAGAAAACCCCAGCAGCCAACAATGGGAAGGACAAACTCCCTTTTATCAGGAAGAAACTGTGCAGCTAACTCAGCCAACTTAATATTGTTCAAAGTTTATCATCACGGTTTAATCTTAATGACCTTACGCAGGAGCATCTACAATTGTCTGTTAGTGTATTTTGTTTGGAATTTTAGGTTTCTTTCTCTCAATCCTTTTTCTGTTTATAACTTTTTCACAAAAAGAAACGATTCTCATTCTTTAAACAGAAAGAAGAGCACAGAACAAAGTGAAGCCCACTGTGCAGCCTGTAACACCGGACACATCCACCTGCAGCTCCACCCCTCCGTCTTGACACCTCTCACCTTTTCTGCTCGACCTGCTTTAGACTGCAGGCTGTGTCGCCGCTCGCGTCCATAACTCTGCACATCTTCGGCCTGTGGGAGGGGTCGTATCCATAGCAACTTTGTTGCTGTGAGGCGAGATTCTCGCACAGGCTGATGAAGTAGTTCCACTTCAGTCACACAGTTATAGTTGTAAAAATCAGGTCATTTATTTCTTCAGCCCACATTATGAAATCTCTGCTATAAGTTAGCTATTTACAAGATCATTCAAGCCCTCCACAAAATCCATCATGATCATCTTTAGAAATGATTATTTACACAGTACAAAACATCCAAACACCAAAGCCCCTCCCTGCTGCACGCAAAACAAAAACATCTTCTTTTTTTAACCACAATAATTGTGCATTTTTTACATGTTAATAATCCTGCCTCCAACCCCACCCCGATTACTAATGAGTCACAGTACTGGTCAGCTACTAAACTCTATATTTCTCATCCAGACTGTCGGTAAGACGGCGACCCACACATCCTTTAGAGTATCCCAGTGTATGTCAGAGTGAGGAGCAAAGCGCTAAAGTTCAGGAGTTCATGCTGGTTTGAAAGCTCAGCACAGAGGAAGGAAACGCCGCCACAGCTTAGGGACGCGAATGGGAGGAAATCCTTTTTTTTTTTTTTGCCTTTTCAACATTTTGGTAAATGAAAATAAAATCACCAATGAGCCAAACTGAGCCTGTGCAATCAAAATCACACTTAGGCCAGACGAGGGGTTTGTTTGTGAAGATCCAATAAAACCAAATCAAAGCAAACAGCAGCAGCGAGTCACCACGTCCAAATATTCTTCAAAATGTGCTGCTTGTCGCTCTTTTCCTCCGTTAAACTGAGGACCTTCTTTATCCTGGTCTTTTTCCAGCGGCAGACTAAAAACCACACCCATGATGATGATGATGATGTGACTGAAGTCTAAACTCTTTGGTAAGTCAGCTCATCAGTTTGGCCGAGGACTAAACAGACCTAATAATCTTAAGACTTGATGGGATTCATTTCACAAATGCAATGAGAAAATTAGAAAAGACCTGAGAGCCTGAAAGGACAGAGACAGTGTAAACAACCACCAGGGACAGTTCGTGTTCATCCAGCAGCTCTGGATCAAACTCTTCTGGAGTGTCAGAGCAACCTTCACATTTGGGCCGATGTCAACAGTTAAACCATTTGGGCTTCATTTTGTTGGAGGTACACCAACACCTAGGTGTCAGGTATTCTTCCTCTAAACAGATCTCTCCCAGATGTCTTCACACAGCCACGATGTTATTCATCTCCCATTTCTGAGTGGTTTTACTGGTGTCACAGTCTGATACGAACACTTTGTGAAGCAGGTCGGAGCGGTCCAGACATTTTCCTATAAGGAGAATACAGCAGCGGGATTACTGACGGACGCTCACAGGCCACCTACAAAACACACACCAGGGTGGGGACCTCCAGGCCTCAAGGTCCTGCAGGTTTTAGACATGTCTTGAAGTTCTCCAGAGGTCTAGTAATGAACTAATCATGTGATTCATGGTGAGATCTGACACACACAGGCCCTCGAGGCCTGGAGGTCCCCACCCCTGGTCTACACACTAGTGCTGTCCACATGCACTGAGGGACAACTGTGGGAAGGCTGCCCTTTAACAATGATTGGTGTGGACACGATTATTACTGCTGTGAGCGTGCAGGGTGTCACACTGCAGGGTAATGAAAAACAAACCAGAACCTTCTGTGCTGGTCTGGTCTACATTCTGCCCAACACTCACTGCAGGATGTAGACCAGACCAGAGCACGGGCAAACCATGAATGGTGTGTGTGTTCCTGTCTAGCTATCTTTGTGAGGACCCAAAGCTGCATTCACTATACTTGTGAGAACCAACAGTCACTTGTGAGGACACACTCACCGGTCCTCACAAGTTTGAAGGCCTTTTTGAGGCTGTGGTTTTAGTGTCAGGGTTACAATTACGTTATGGTCAGGTTTAGGATGAGCGTTTGGGCCCCTCCTCCAATTGGAGGCGGGCGGTGCACGGGCCATCCCTCGGTAGGGTGTCTGGGTCCTGGATTGTCCACGGCGTCTGCCATGGTGCACCAGGGTCCAGTCAGAAGTCCATGCACCCATGATGAGTTTTTTAATTGTTGTTTTTGTTTCACCAAATGAAAAGAAATTTTTAACTTTTTAAAAAGTTTTTAAAGAAAGAAAAGAAAGAAAATGAATTGGCTTTGAAAAGAACCTTTTAGTACAGTGGGGCAAAAAAGTATTTAGTCAGCCACCGATTGTGCAAGTTCCCCCACCTAAAATGATGACAGAGGTCAGTAATTTGCACCAGAGGTACACTTCAACTGTGAGAGACAGAATGTGAAAAAAAAATCCATGAATCCACATGGTAGGATTTGTAAAGAATTTATTCGTAAATCAGGGTGGAAAATAAGTATTTGGTCAATAACAAAAATACAACTCAATACTTTGTAACATAACCTTTGTTGGCAATAACAGAGGTCAAACGTTTACTATAGGTCTTTACCAGGTTTGCACACACAGTAGCTGGTATTTTGGCCCATTCCTCCATGCAGATCTTCTCGAGAGCAGTGATGTTTTGGGGCTGTCGCCGAGCAACACGGACTTTCAACTCCCGCCACAGATTTTCTATGGGGTTGAGGTCTGGAGACTGGCTAGGCCACTCCAGGACTTTCAAATGCTTCTTACGGAGCCACTCCTTTGTTGCCCGGGCGGTGTGTTTTGGATCATTGTCATGTTGGAAGACCCAGCCTCGTTTCATCTTCAAAGTTCTCACTGATGGAAGGAGGTTTTGGCTCAAAATCTCACGATACATGGCCC